AGCTTTTCAAATAATTTACTTGTGATATTTCGTATTTTCCTAAGATAAGGAGACTGTGGCTGATTTTTATTTAAAGTAATATAAAAGTATGACACATGTACTTTTAACGTCCTGTAACTTTTAGAGAAACAGTTACCAGCGATGAAGAGACTAGATCAAGAATTCTATCTTTAATGTTTCGTATATAATTTATTTGGAGCAGGCATTGATCATAAATAGTGTCATAGAACACATCCATACTGGATAATGTAGCATTTGGCAAAACTGGTACATGATCAACTTTATTTTCACCAGAAACCCATGTTAATTGAGGTAAATTAAAGTCACCGAATTTTAAAGTTTGTAAATTCGAGACTTGTTTTATTAAGTCTGCATGTCCACGGTAAACTTCTACATCAGAATGTGGTGCAATATAGCAGCATGTTAAAATAATGACGTTACATAAGTCAATTATTTTAGCGGATACAAATTCTATATTATAGTTGTCAGCTGTATCAGAACTCCCCTCCTTTTCTAATTTAACAAAATCTCAGTATCATCAATATCTGGTGTTATCCAGGTTTTCGTGAAAATTTTTTGAATTCACAGCCAAAAGATTTCAAATAAATATTTTTAAGCTTAGTATTAAGGACTCTAACGTTTTGGTAAAGGAAGGTCAATGATTTAATTAGTTTTTTGACATAGGTAACACAGTTAAGTTTACAGGGTTAGTTATTTCCCTATACACAAATTCCGCTATTAAAACACCTTGAGTCCAAAATTAACTATTTAATATATTTTCAAACATGTAAGTTGGATTATATATCTCTTTGAGTTAATGAATTGTACTTAACAATTTTATAATCATTATCACTAAGATTCTGGTATTTTGACTTTACATAATTACCAATATTTTCTACAGAAGTATTACAATGGAGTCTAGATGCAAATATACTTCTTCTGGGAGCAACTACTATAAACTCGTTGCTGTTAGTGGAAGGAGAGGGCTCAGACACTACAATAGATGGAGGATCAGATGGTGATGATGGTGATGCGCTAACTGGTACTGGTTGTACATACCTAAGTGTTGCTTAATGTGAGCACCTACCTTGCGGTCTATCTCACAGTGGTCTTAGCACCGGGTGAATACAATGCGTCTACCAACGTCCCCACAAAAGTGAGTACCTATTCACTCGCACGTTATTTGGACGCGGTCGCCTCCTTGGTTAGGAGCGGAGCCTATCTAAAAATCCTGCCTTTCTATGGGTCAGGCACCCGGTTGATAATGCAACTCCACATTCGAGCAACACACTCTCCCCGCGATTTGGGTACAAACCACAGTCACCGCGATGCTCCCACAAGGGGGCCAACACCAACTGCCAGGCTAGATCCGAAGATCTAGGGGCACCTGGCACCCGCGGTACCAGAATATAGCCTCCGGTCAGACTCCAAACAGTCCGGGACTGGTCACCCACCAACAGAAAATCAGCAGAGTACACGCACTCAAACACAACAATTAACATGCTGTCATCACGGACTGCACAATGGGTCCACTGGGACCGCAGCAACGGACTACACAACACAAACAATAAACAGGACTACCCTCACGGATAGCCTACACAACATACACAGAGGAACAACAACAAACGTCCCAAAGGTCCAAGGACCAACACGGCCCAACAGCCAACGGCCCACCGTCCACTATGTGCGGGGACCCCCTCCACTAAGTCTTGTCCTTCTACTAAATACTTCTCGCGCAAAATTACTTAAACATCTAAAGGTCCGATCGTCTTCAAGGACCCTACTGAAATCCCACCCCGCCCCTCCATACGTAATACCCATATTAGCTAAACTTCTAATGTCATTATAGTAATGGCATTCCGTCAGTATATGCACCCAGTCCTCGGTCATCCCGCACCCACATAAATCCGTCTGGGCAAGGCCTCTCTTATGCAAAAATGCATTGAGAGAGCCATGCCCCGTCAGTAAGAAACCAGTACTTAAGCCGAACCGAAAGTCTGGCCGGTCCAGTACGAACGTTGCGTCACGAATAAATCCGTACGTCGCCCTTCCCTTGTCACTGTTCGTCCACCTTGTCCTCCAAAAATTAACAACGCACTCCCGAAGGAGCGCCTTGTACCGCCTAATATCCCCATTTACCAGATCAGAAGGGCTGAGCCAGCTCTCATCCTCAGCCAGCTGCAAACCACGCTTCAGCTTATACAGAATAGCCCTACATCTCACTTCCAGGTCAAGCGGTACGGCGCCAAGCAGCACCTGCAGTGCATCCGTGGACACAGTCCTGCACACAGGTAGACACGCTAGCATGACGACCCGCTGACACGACAGGAGCTTTTTCCGACCCAACACAGACGCACCGGTTTTGTACCACACAGGAGCCCCATAAGTTGCACAAGCAACAAACAGGCCACCATATATTGTACGCACGGAACGCCTGCTCAAGCCCCAATCAGTCCGCAAAACACGTCTGACCATTCCCACCACTCTAGTTAGCTTCTCCTTCAGGTGATCAAGGTGCACCAGAAAATTTAATCTTTCCTTCATATGGATACCCAAATACTTAATTGTACTTGCATATCTTATGCCATGTTCACCAGCTCGTATAAGCGGAGGTCGACTATGAGCAAGTCTGCCTTTCAGCATCATCAGCGATGTCTTGTCATTCGCAACCTCAACGCCAACTCGATCACTCCATGCTTGGACTATACGCATAGCCTGCTCACCACGAGTCTCTAGCTCAAGGCGAGACTCACCTTCAACCATGATAAGTAAGTCATCCGCATAAGCACAAACCTTGAAGGACGCCGAGAGCTCCCGCAACAGAGGATCCATCATGAGGTTCCAAATAAATGGGCCACAGATGGACCCCTGAGGGCAACCACGTTGGACATCCTTCCAGACCGAAGCACTGGATCCCACGACACAAGCCTTTCTATCACGAAAGTAGCTTGACCAAAGACTAATTTCCTGGCAACCGATCGCTAACAACCTCGTGAGAACGCTATTCCACAACAGGAAGTCAAATGCACCCTTAAAGTCGACAAAGATGCCAACGACATACTTGGCATTTGACCCGCTCAGGCTATTCTGCACATGCAACCACGCGTCCACAGTACTTCTACCCTCGGTAAAACCGAATTGATGCGGCGATGTACAGAGTAGCGCTCCTTAAGCCTAGACACCATAATCCTCCCCAGTACTTTTCCAAGAACTGGAAGCAGACTAATGCCCCGATACGAGCGAGGATCACTCCTTACTCTATCTGGCGACTTAAGTAGCACCACCACTCTAGCAATCTTCCACGCACGCGGAAAGTACCCTTGGCTCATGCAGCGGCTAAACACTGACTCGATATACTCAGGCATGACCTTCCAGATGGCTTTATACATCCGACCAGTCATACCCTCGATACCAGGCGACTTTCTGCTTCTAATCCGACAGATACTGTCCGAAACTTCTAACCTTTCCACTGCCGGAGGCTCAGCCAATTCATCGACAAGCGGAGGAAATGTCTGAGTCTCCGAACTGGGAAAGAATGATCCCAACAAAAGCCCTACGCTCTCCCCCCACCCCGAGGTCATTGTCGTAGAGCTGCTACGCAATGCCTGTAGGTCGCCCTGACTACTTGACCCACCATGCCGGCACACACGGTATACTTTACCCCAAGGATCGTCTTTATTGTCCTGGATAAATCTCCTCCAATTGTCTTCTTTACTCCTAGACAGCTCGTCCTTGTACGTCCTAAGGAAAGCAAGGAACTCAGTTTTACGCTGAGCTAAGTCCTCCGCATTGGTACGTCTAGCCCGTTGGAATCTCTTCCTAAGGCGACTGAGTCTCCTCCGCATCAGACTTAGCTCACGGGTCCACCATTTGACCTTACTTGGTTTAACCTTACGGCGTCTACCAAGGAGCTCGTCATTGACTCCGCTCATCCACTCGTTCAACCTGCTAACCTGGTCATCTATGGTCAGTGCCCTAAAGTCCGCTAATGGCATAGCAGCCTCCCTAACACGGTCCGCATATAGGTCCCAGTTCACGTCTCGTTCCTTCCAAGCCCTGAAACGCTCTGTTCCCTGCGTTCGTCCCCGCGGCGTGACCACAAGCTCAATGAGATTATGGTCACTAACACCCCAGTCATCAACAACACGCCAGCAAAATTGGTAAACAGTCGTTGCTGCCCCATTTGCAGCCGTCACGTCAATGTCGCTAACTCCCGAGGGCCTATCAAAGGTATACAGATCCGAGGGCTCATTCAAAATCTCCACGCCCCTCGCTAACACCCATTCACTCAGCATCACTCCTCGTTCGTGATTCTGATGGCCAGAGTTAAGCCTGGACATCTTGGAGAACCACAAAGAGGAGGATGCATTCGCGTCAAAACCTAGGATAAGCGGACAACTACTCGCAAGGAGTAGTACCGTATCCATATACCTTAAATAAGGCTCCAACGGAGATGTTATGATAGTAGGATCTAGTGCGATTCAGTTCAAACACATAAATTTGAACTGACACTTAGTATCCAAATTAATTTCCTTCCAAGCACATGAACTTGAAGGAGGCCGCCTAGATAGTAATTAAAACTCTTAGTTTAGTCACTACAAAAGACGACTGAATTTTCTTTATTTCTGGCTGTCTTTATATACATAATTTCTTAACATAATTAATTAAAAAATGCTATTGATAAATGCTGATATAAATTAATTGTAATGTAGGTCGGTTACTAGTAGACATTAAATGCTATGTAAGCAAAATAAATAAATGTGTTAAAGAAACTTAAAAACATTGCAAAAAGTGAATGAACCAATGGCCAATGAACTAAAATAAAGAAAATTAACTGTAACAATAAAATAGTCCAAATATGTGATATAATAATGCTGTATAAGCAGTTTAAAACTTATAAATATGTAGGTGTGCTTGATTTTTGTATTTATTGTTTGTTTTGGTAATTAAATCTAAAGTATGTTTATAGAACAATAAAAAAAAAAATATTTATGTATGTTTTAACATTCTCCGCCGCGTTGACATTGTTCAATGATTGCGCCTGGGTTGGATGCGTGTGGAAATGACTCCATTGTAACATCGATTGTTGATTGATGAGATCTTATAGCTGGTGTAGGTATGAATTGAGATGGCTTCTTAAATTTTGTGTGGATCCTCCAACTCAGCAGGCCAAGTAAAATAAGAATGCAGCAAGCTAAAGATGCGTAGCTAACTGCATGATGATGTTGATTTGATGATTGAATTAATTGTGGTAGGTGTTTTAGAGTTGATTCATGCAAATGTTTTTGTATATTATCCAATTCTTCTTGATGAATCTTGTAAGAGGTGGTATTGGTATTTGTTGAAACCTTTTCAATTTCCTCTTGTCGACTTATATATTGAATGCCTTTCAATCTTACATAGGATGTATGTAAACTACTGGAAGCTGCAAAATGTCCATGTATCGTAACAAATTTGTTTTTAATTACGCAGGTAGGACCAATTTCCATTATTCCGGAATTTTTAATGATGATGAGGTTGGTTTCAGACCCGCATACCATTGAAGATTCAATATCGGCTGTAGTAGCAAAGATCCATTTATTTTGATGATGTAATTGACTCCAAACTGCTGTTCCAGTAATTTTGTGAAGACGGCAATTGCTAGTTGATTGGTTATAGAAGATATTGATCTCGCAAGGGTTAACAAGTGCATTTTTCTTGAGCTTTGACTGCTGATTTCTGCAAATATATTCATCATCGTTTGGTTTGAGACAGCTTGAAATATCCTCTGATTTGACAAGAATATATTCTTCTCTATGTGCATCGGTAGATATGTATTCCGTTTCTGGTTGAATGGCGATTAAGGTGTCATTTTGTATTGTTGGAACTGCAACTATTTTGAACAACTCAAAAAACTGTTGGTTAACTAAGGGTATCTTCACTTCAAAAATGATTTCATATTTTGTAACTGCCCCTTTGACACTCATAAGCTTATAAAGTTGAATCAAATTGTCACCTGATGTTGGCAAGGCATGTGAAATTGGAAGATTAGCCTTAATGACACTAATTTCTTCTTTCAATTGATGAGGAGCCAATAACAGGGGACTTATTTTTCCATGATGCGTATCAGTAAGTACATTAATGATTTCGGCCTGTGTTATCTGTAGCTTTATTGCGGATAACATCAAATGCGTTGATAGAAGTCCAAACAGTTGAGAATTGTTGAATTGGGCGGATTCTTCAGCTATATCGTTATTGTGTTTGTCAATCATTTTCAAAATCTCCCGTATTTTTTGATGAGTGTTAATCTCATCCCTTTTTATAACATTAATAGTTGAATCAATTATTGAAGTCTGGTTTTTCAATAGACTGATTGTGTGGTCCTGTTCGCCTTTTGCCTGGTTGATAGTCTTTGACATTTCTTCCGCATAGTCCGTATCAAGAACGCCAAAAAGTGAGTGCGCAATATTCCCAATTATGTTGAATGGAGATCTTTTTACACGTTTGTTGATGAATAATTCTTTGTCTTGTAGTAATTCATTTTTCGTCTGCTTCAGGTTGTTTACAAAAATGTTGCACATCTCATGCTGATGCATTACATGGCACATTTGCTGCAACGTTTGTAAGCCGGATGCCAATGACTCTATTTCCGAAACAAAGGGCTTTAAGTCATAATATACTAACATCTTCCATTCTGCTGTATTCAGTTTCATTGTTCCTAACCCTTCAAAATACAATCCTGGATCATTGTGAAATTGTGTAACTTTCAAATTGTTGCACAGGACCATAGGTATTAGGAACAATGTTAATAATACTGATAGTATTATAGGACTGTTTGCAATTCTCACTCTTTTTGCCGGAATGACATCTCTTCCATGTTCATCTGTTACCGATTTTTTCTTGTGGGAAATTGTGATTTCTTGAGTTGTATCTTTGTCAATTATAGCATTATCATGATCTTCTGGACCCATTATTTGTTGATACCGTTGTGGTCGCGCTCTATTACATTTTATGCATCTTTGAACGGTAGACCTTGCTGTTATCTTGCCTTTTATAGGCCAGAATCGCTGTCTTATTGCATTTAACAAGGCTTGAGCTCCACAATGTTTATTTTCTTCATGAACTGTCTTAAATAGCAATTTCACCAAAGGATCATTATAAGGCAATATCATTTGGTGTTCCGCATCCATTTGTAGCATAGCATGTTCCAACCTTCCTCCAACGCGAAGAATGCCTTCATCATCCAAAAACGGTGATAAACTGCATAGCGAGCTATGCTTATTAATCTGCTTTTCAGCCTTCAACGCGTTGATATCAGCTGCAAATTCGGATGATTGTACGGCTTGAATTATTCGACGAAGGGAGTCGTCTAATTCTTTGGAAGACACTGCTATATGTTGAGGCCGGTGTGCCTTTTGCATACGTGCATTGCTGGTGAATCTAAGCACGTATGCTAAAATTCTTTGTAACTTCCTGAATGAATTTTTGTGCTCGATCATATGTATTAGATGCATGTCAGAAGCTACTATTGACGTCGTAGCTGCAGTCTTTAACTCCATGCTATTTGTTATATCCTCTTGCGGAGAGAATTTGGTCGACCATAGTTCTTCCCTTCCATGAAGAAAAACTGGACCATGAAACCATAATCGGCATTTAGAAAGATCAGCTGGCGAGAGTCCTCGGGATAAAATGTCGGCAGGATTTTCTTTTGACTTAACGTGGTTCCATTGTTCTGGCAATGTTAAGTTTTGTATGGTGGATACCCTATTAGCCACAAAAGTCTTATATACGTTGGACCTTGATTTTATCCAGGCGAGTACTATTTCAGAATCAGTCCATAAAAACATCGGATTATACTGAAGCCTTAGGTCATTTTTCACCCTGGTAGCCAGTTGAGCTGCTACCACTGCGGCACATAGCTCTAATCGTGGTAGAGTTTGTTTTTTCAAAGGAGCTACCCTGGATTTAGCACAGATCAGACGTACAACTACTCGTCCATCTTTTCCAATAAAACGAATATAAATAGCCGCGCCAAAAGCTCTTTCCGATGCATCGGCAAACACATGCAACTGGATTTTCGTCGGGATCTCCCCACAGAATACATGTCGCGGTATCTTAAAGTTGTTGAGACCTTCCAATTCCCTTCGAAATGTTTTCCAAGTGGCACAAAGTTTTTCTGGTAGTGCTTCGTCCCAATCTAATATATGTTGCCACAGCTGCTGAATAAATATTTTTGCCTTCACCACAATCGGTGCAAGTAGGCCAAGCGGATCAAATAATTTTGCTAGTTCAGACGTAACTACTCGTTTTGATATGATTTCATTATGATCAATGTTTGTTTTTACACAAAATTGATCTGCTTGCGGCATCCAATATAATCCCAACGTCTTTATTGTTTGAGATTCGTTGAGATCCAGGTTCACTTCTCGATCGCTATGTGGTATGTCCTTCAGCAATCTTGGTGTATTGGATGACCATTTCCTTAGAATGAAGCCGTGTTGTTTCAAGATTGTTATTAACTCCTATTGTATTTCAATAGCTGTACTTAGGCTATCTGCACCGCCGAGACCGTCATCCATATAAAAATTATCTTTCAGCATTTGTGAGCCTAATGGATAACGCTCCATGTTCTCGTTTGCAATCTTTTGTAAGCATTTTGTAGCCAGATACGGGGCTGAACGTGTCCCATATGTGACCGTATTAAGTTTGTAATAACTGACTGGATGGGATGGATCCTCTCTCCAGATAATTAGCTGATACCTTTGATCATCGGGATGCATTAAAATCTGCCTGTACATCTTTTCAATATTGGTTGTGAAGACGAATTTTGGCAATCGAAACCTCAGCAAAATAGAAAACAATTCACTTTGTACGATTGGTCCTGTATACATTAGATTATTTAACGATTGACCTGATGAAGTTTTCACTGATGCGTCAAATACAACCCTAAGTTTTGTTGTTGTACTATCGGGCTTGAGAACACAATGATGCGGAATAAAATATTTAGGATTTGATACGGTACACACGTCAATCTTTTGCATGTGTCCTAATTGTTCATATTCTCGCATAAATTTAATGTACTGACTTCGGATACCTTCCTTCTGTAGAAGTCGGCGTTCAAGGCTCATAAATCGGTTATAAGCCATTGCATGTGATTTCCCCAATGCTGTTGGAGATTCTTGAAACGGAAAGCTGACGATGAAACGACCATTCTGATCCGTCTTAACATGTTGATTGAAGTGAGATTCGCAAAGGGTTTCTAATGGAGACATGACCTTTTCAGTTGATTCCACTTCCTCAAGTTTCCATAATTTTTCGATAGCTTGTTCCAGTGATGTTTCACTAAAAATTGCGCATGTTAGCGCTGCTGATGTGTCGTCCGTTGACGATTGTTGAATTAAACCACCTACAATCCAGCCAAGCGCAGTATTTTGGAGTATGGGTTGATGACCATTTAGTTTTATTGTGCCTGGTTGCATTAGACTGAAGTAAAACTCAGCTCCGAGTAAAATGTCAATTTTTCCTTGAACGTTAAAATTAGGGTCTGCTAATCTAATATTCTTGGGAATTTGCCAGTTTTGCATATCCAAATCATGATTTGGTTGCGGAGGTATAATTGTGGGCAAAACAAATGCTTCAAAATTTGTGGAAAATTCAGAATTGCTTGATAACATTTGTATGTTTACCCGATGATAAGCCTTCTTCTGAATCCTTCCGACTCCGGAAATAGATAAAGAGGCATCTGCTGTTCTAAGTGACAATTTTTGTATGAGTCTTTCCGTCACAATGTTCACTTGCGAACCCGAGTCTAACACCGCTCTAAATTCGCCTGACATACCGTTAGTCGCTTTGATGATGACTCTAGCCGTTGCTAGAATTACATTTTTCTGATCTTCTGCTGATGCCGAAGAAACTGCAGTAACGTTAACTGGTGCGATATCGATTTTTGTTGGTGGTGATTGATTTGAGGCCTTCGGCGACGGTTGAGACTTTTTTGGCAAATGTAGCAGTGTATTGTGCTTATTACTACATATTTTGCAGTTGCCAGAAAAACAAGTTTTTGCTGCATGGTCCGATTTGAAACAATTTACACACAATTTATGTTGCTGTATCCATTTCAATCGCTCACCTTCTGTCATTACCAAGAACTTCTTACAATGATAAATTGGATGGGAGTCGTTCTTGCATAGTTTACAACTCCTGTGATCCTCCACTGATGTTACGGACGAAACAGTTTTGGTTGAACCCTTGTGCGTAGATGCCGCTTTTCCAATCGATGCCATTGATTCGAATTGAAGTTCCAAAAATGAAAACAGCTCTTTCATAGTAGGAACTTCCTTCGGATTCGCCAGTGATTGCATGAATCGTATGTACAGAGCGTGATCCAATTTCTTTGTGATCAATTGAATCAATAGAGCATCCCAAGACGTTGTGTCGATTTGAAGATTGTTGAGGGCTAGCATGCATTCCTTTGTAGTGTCATGCAGAGCCTTGATGGAGGCCGTTGATGAAGTTCCATTTGGTTGACTCAAAATCCGTTCTACTAGAGTGGAAACAAGAACCCGCTTATTGTTATAACGTTCTTGCAGCAACATCCATGCCGTTTTGTAATTATCCTCTGTCAAGGATAGATGACTGATTAGTTTGCCAGCCTCGCCAGACAAATTGGTTTTGAGATACCACATTTTTTGAACACTTGGAAGAGACTGTTTGTCTACCATCTCCAAGAAAAGTTCATAGAACTGACGCCACTTCAAACAATCCCCATTGAATTGAGGAATTGTTACCTTTGGTAGTGGGAGTGAACTGTGTGCTATAATGTCACTCCCTAATTGAGATGCAATGGTCACGGTTTCGCTGCATTTGTCTTTCAAGACTGCTAGTTTTATTAAGTTGTCTTGTACCGAATCTTCCAGCATATCGTAGTTTTCTTGACTTAATCCAATTTTCGATGGATCTTCAATCTGCTGCAATATTTCATCGTAGAGCTCCGTTATTTGATTCCATAGCTTTTTTATAGTATCTTCTTTGATGCTATAAAATTGCTTCGGCTGTTCCGCTTCGATTGTACCCAAGCCTTGCAAGTGACGACTAAGGGCACTCATTCGAGCATTTATCATTCTAACAAGCCCATCAACACGGGAAGGTATTTTGTCTCCTGCGACAACTTCAGTCGATTTCTCTCTCAAGGTGGGAACTGGCTTACTTTTGGCTGACCTCAGTTTCTTTATTTCCGCGTCTATATATTCCATTGTTGAGCTGAACTTCTCTC